ATAAATAAGATCTAAGAGTTGTCCAGCTATAGAAACAAGATGCCGGATGATTTCTAAGACCTATCTGTGATATTTAAATGATACAATAAAAGACCTATTGATTTGGGGGAAAAAAACCCAAATAACTCTTATTATTTTACAGTATACTCTGTTGGTCTTTTTGTTTGTATTTACTTCTGAGTTTGGAAGTTGTTACTCACTAGAGATATAGAAAAGGTTCCATTTAATATGCTGTGTTATATAATAATAAAGTGAAAAAACTTTTCCCCAAATTATCAAGTCATCAGTACCATACTATTTTGAAATTATATTTTATTGCTTCATGATTTTTTTTTTTTTTTTTTGAGATAGAGTCTCGCTCTGTAGCCAGGCTGGAGTGCAGTGGCATGATCTTGGCTCACTGCAACCTCTGCCTCCCGGGTTCAAGCCGTTCTCCCGCCTCAGCCTCCTGAGTAGCTGGGATTACAGGCGTGCACCACTGTACCCACCTAATTTTTGTATTTTTAGTAGAGACAGGGTTTCACCATATTGGCCAGGATGGTCTTGATCTCCTGACCTCGTGATCCGCCCACCTCAGTCTCTCAAAGTGCGGGAATTGCAGGTGTGAGCCACTGTGCCCAGCCACGTGATAGCTTTCTTTAAAATCATAACTGATTCTGTATTTGTCTCTTTCTGGTCTTATCTAATCTCTTTTACTGATCTCTGTTTACTTGTATAAAAACAAGTAGGGAGCCTATTTTATTATTACTCTTTAGTTTCAGTTTTTACAAGTGGACAGTAAGTACTTCATGGATCCAAATATTAGGAATTGATCTTAGGCCAAAAAGTTGGGGCAAAATGGAAGCAACTTATCATTACAGTTTTTTTTTTTTTTGAGACAGAGCCTCACTTTGTTGCCTTGGCTGCAGTGTAATGGCGCAACCTCGGCTCACTGCAAACTACGCCTCCCGGGTTCAAATGATTCTCCCTCCTCAGCCTCCTGAGTAGCTAGGATTACAGGCACCCGCCATTATGCCTGGCTAATTTTTGTGTTTTTCATTATGATAGAGTTTCACCATGTTGGCTAGGCTAGTCTCAAACTCTTGACCTCAGGCGATCTGCTCGCCTTGGCCTCCCAAAGTGCTGGGATTACAGGTGTGAGCCACCATGCCTGGCTCGTTACAGTTTTATATGCGTTTTACTGACTACCTGGTTCTGTGCTGTTCTTGTAACATTTACTTAACGTATTTCTTTGAATGCTGCTTCAAATTTTATTTCAAAATTGAGGGGGAAATTATAAGCAAATGATAAACATAAACAAAATTTTATTTTCCTTTTTTGTTAGAGGCAGAATTTAAGGAAAAATTCTGATGATTTTGATTACAGGTAGTGGCTAACCTCTTATGATTTATTTACTTATCTATTTATCTTTCTATCTATTTGTACTTTTTTTTTTTTTTTTGATAAACAGTCCCTCCCCAGTAAGAATGCAGTTCTTCTTAATCACAGAAGTTATTCCTTTCCTTGTGATGGCCTTCTCTGTTCTGTGTCTTGGCAAATATCTGAGCCTAATAGTTGGGTGGTGCCCTTGGCATAGATGTTATGTAAGGAATTGTCACCTGCTTTTAGAGTCAGTCATCCCATGAAATCGAAGGAGTCAGTAAGGCGTTATGGAATCAGGAGGCTTGTGTGACAGCTCTGACGCTGATACCAATTAATTACCTGACTGGACCTCAGTTTCCTCATCAGTAGAATGAACACAGTTGGCCTAGTGACCCCAAATGTCTCTCCCAAGCTAACATTCTGTGATTCTCATTCTCTGAGATGTTACCACGAGGAATGTTTACTTCTGCATTACTTTTTAAAATAAGACAAATGGAGAACAGAAAATGAGAACTAGAGTTTAATTTTAAAATTTTGAAGTGTCATCGATGAGGCTATCGTCATGTGTTATGTTGCTTTAGTCCAATAGTTCTTAAGAGTATGCATTAGAACTACCAGTGAACATTTAAAATATATGCATATGTGAACATATACAAATATATACACATAAATATGTTTGTTTGTTTATTTATTTACTTATTTATTTACTGGAGACAGAGTCTCACTGTTTTGCCCAGGCTAGAGTGTAGTGATGCAACCTTGGCTCACTGCAACTTCCACCTCCTGGGTTCAAGCAATTCTCCTGCCTCAGCCTCCCAAGTAGCTGGGATTACAGGCGTGTGCCACAACACTCAGCTAATTTTCATATTTTAAGTAGAAATGGGGTTTCACCATGTTGGTCGGGCTGGTCTCAAACTCCTGACCTCAGGTGATCCAACTGCATCAGCCCCCCAAAGTGCTGGAATTACAGGCGTGAGCCACCGCACCTGGCCACACACACAAATATGCATGCTTAGGCCCCTGCCTTGCAAGTCTGATTCAGTAGGTTAAGGATAAGGATGAAACCTAGGAAGTCTTGCTTATTCAGATGCAAATAAGGGTTGAGAGGCTCCCTTCCACTTATGGAAAGCAGATACTATAGGTATAGACTGGTCTGGTATACTCTGTGACAAATAAGTCCCATTGCTCTTCTGGAATCCTATAATTAATTGGCACAAAATGTTAGTTTTTCTTTTTTCTTTTTTTTTTGAGATACAGTCTTGCACTGTCTCCTGGGCTGGAGTGCAATGGCGCGATCTTGGCTCACTGCAGCCTCTGCCTCCCAGGTTCAAGCGATTCTCCTGCCTCAGCCTCCCAGTGCTGGGATTACAGGCATGAGCCACCGCCCCCTGCCCAGAGAAACTACAACAAACAAGAAATTACAACAAGCTAGTTTTTCTTTAAGAAGAACCCACTTCTCATTTTCTTATCTGTTCAGGCTGGTAAAACAAAATAACATAAACTAGGAGGCTTATCAACAAGGGAAAACAATTTCTTACAGTTCTGTGACCTAGGAAGTCCAAGATCAAGGTGCCAGTAGATTCCATGTCTGGTGAGGGCCCACGTCCTGATTCTCAGTAGGTACCTTCTTGCTGTGTCCTCACATGGTAGAAGGGGAGATGGGCTCTCTGGAGTTTCTTTCATAACTGCGCTAATCCCATTCTTGAGGGCTCCTAATCACCTCCCAAAGGCCCCTCCTTCTAATGCTGTCACTTTGAGAGTTAAGATTTTGACACAGAAATTTTAGAGGTGTAGAAGCATTCAGATCATAGCACTTATATCTCAAAGATTAGGATATTACTATGTTCCTTTTCACTTTTCTATCCATATGTTAAGGATTAGTAACATTTGATTGTCTGGTATATAATAAAACAGTCTCTTGGTTGTTGACCCTAAATTGACATTGTATGATAGAGGTTATTTAAAAATTTCTTAAATTAACTACTTTCTAAAAACTATTTTTATAAAATAATACATGTTCATGGTTTAAAAACACATAGTACCAAAAGTATGATGAAAGTGAAAGCTTACTAGAGATAATGATTAATAATAATAATGATTAATAATAAACATTTTGGGAATTTAGCTGATTTTATTAACACCATTTAAATATCAGTCTAGGTGTAGTGACAGGATAACATACTGGTTAAAAGCATGGGCTCTACCTTTACATTTATGGTCAATTGATTTTTGACAAGGGTGGCAAGACATATCAATAGGGAAAGGTTAGTCATTTCAACAAATGGTGCTGAGACAGCAGGTTATCCACATGCAAAAGAAGAAAGTTGGATGCCTGCCTCACACAACAGATTAACTTAAAATGGATCATAGTCCTAAAGTAAGAACTAAAACTACAAGACACTTAGAAAAAAAGTAAAATCCTTGTGACTTTGGAATAGGCAATAGTTTCTTATATATGACAATGACACCAAAAGCACAAGCAAAAAAGCAAAAGATATATTTGACTTATCAAAATTAAAAACTATATTTCAAAAAGACTTCTATATTTTAAACCTTTTTTTTTTAAAGTGTAGGTTCTAGAGAATGATAACCTAACTTTGAATTTTAGCTCCATTACTTATTGTAAACTGTGCAACCCTGAGGACGTTGCATAACCTCTCTGAGTCTGTGTCCTTGTTTGTAAAATGGGGATGATGGTAGCAGTACCCACCTAACGATATTGCTAGAAGGATTAAATGAAATGGAGGCATACAAACATTAACCCTCTGTCTAGTTCTGGATAAATACACATCCCAACTATGAAGATGATAAGGAGATTGAAGAAGGATGAATGGCTTACTTGGATCAGCAGAAATGAGAAGAAATCACCTAAGGAGCGAGTAGTAAGGGTGGGCTTGAGCTTGGTTTATTTGTGGGTCCTGAAGAAGACAGCTAATTTAAACATTTTTACAAGCTGGAGGTAGCAATCTCTTGGTGGTTTTGACTGGTGATGACGCCCAGGATGACAGTGCTGTCATGTGGGGATAACATACCACTAAGCTGGATCATGTTTCTTTTGATGCCTGATTGGGCCAGCACAAAATCCTGAGGAGAAAACAGAGAATCCGCAGAAAGTATTTTTATTGCAATCTTGCTGCATCTTGCCTGAAGATCCTGTGTCTGCTTATCCAGGAGTTAGCCTGGGAGAAAATGTGTAAACCTTGCTTTGAGTAGTCTGCCCCTATGTCTGTAAGCAGGGTTGTGTTGGAAGGGGACATCTGTCTGACATTTGGCCTCTCTGCATTTAAACCATGGTTGGGAACAGAGATGGCATAAAATGTGGCCTCAGTATTTCGAGCCTGTTACTTATTTTCCTGCGATCAGGGAAGCTTCCGATTATGGCTTGTTACTTGGCAGGATCCCCTGAGAACATATCTTGAGTGTGATCTGAGTCAGGAATATTGAATAATTTGTCAGAGGTTCCAGTCAGATGAAAGAACTAAATCTGTAATCTTCATTAGAGTCCTTCCTTCCTCAGATTCCTTATTTTGGCCTGTGGGACTAAAATGGTAATGCTTTTAGAGTGAACCTAATATTAGAAAACGCATCATCATGTTTTCCTTTGTGATAATTACCATCCTTACTTCCACTACTTCCAGCTAAAGATCATCACCCTGGTAAAACTTTGCCAGAGAACCCAGCAGGATTCACCAGCACGGCCACTGCAGACCTCAGAGCCCTGCTTCAGGCCTATATAGACGGTCACTCTGTGGTCATCTTCAGTAGGTCCACATGCACACGCTGTGCTGAGGTAAGGCTTTAAACTCAAGGGATTTAAATGGAATTGTAGCAATTTGACAGACTTTTGAGCTCAAATGTAAAGAATTGGATTTCACCTTTAGGAAGAGTGTATGCAGGCTGGGCGCAGTGGCTCACACCTGTAATCCTAGCACTTTGGAAGGCCAAGGCGGGCGGATCACAAGGTCAAGAGATCAAGACCATCCTGGCCAACGTGGTGAAACCCTGTCTCTACTAAAAATACAAAAATTAGCCCAACATGGTGACATGCACCTGTAGTCCCAGCTACTCGGGAGGATGAGACAGGAGAATCACTTGAACCCGGGAGCAGAGGTTGCAGTGAGCCGAGATTGTGCCACTGCACTCCAAACTGGGCAACAGAGCGGGACTCCTTCTCAAAAAAAAAAAAAAAAAGGAAAAGTGTATGTAGGTGTAACTTGCTTTAGAGTAATTGTAAAATGTGGTTTTGATAACAAAATACTGCTTGAATAATCTCTTTCTGAGCTTTTGGGAAGTATGAGGTATTTTCAGGTAGTCAAGTTCAGGGAAGGTTATGGTGGGGGAGTTACCAAACCAGTTGATTTGCTGTCCTTTCAGATATGTCTGTAGGGAATATTTCATAAGGAACGGTTACTTAGGGTACTATCAAATTTTGGTAAATATCTCTTCATGCTGTGGTTTATTATGGGGAAAATAACTTCACAAAGAATAAACTGTTTCCTACTTGGTTCTTAATCTTAGATTATCAAAGAGAAAAGGTCAGTGGTTACAGCCATGGGGAGGATTAGTTTAGTCCACCCTGGTTTATTCAGGAAGAATTTATTCTCACATTAATGAAGGTGAGAATTGAAAGGCAAACGTGATCTGTCTGGTGCTTCATAGTAAGGCTGAGGGCATTTACATGTCACGAAGTTTAGCTCTAGGCCTACACAATGGAGCCTTAGGTAAACATAAGTGGCCATCAGTCCAGGTTCACTGGGAGGTTAATTTATTATTAAGTTTAATTTTTTCTCAACTTGTCTGCCCCATGACTGACTTTCCAGATCTCAAGGAGCTTGAATTCAGAAGCCTTTTTATTCTGGAAGCCTTATATAGAAATAAATGGGCTTATGGGCTTTTTGGATTCTCTTTCTCTCTCTTGTTTTGCGCGCGCGTGTGTGTGCCTGTGTGTGCCTGTGCACACGCGCACTTTTTTCCCAAGTAAAGAAAAAGGAAGGTGGGCAGTGAAAACACTGAAGTAGGGAAACCCTTTCATCCTTGTCTCTCTCCTGAACACATTATGCATCGATGCCACCTTAGGCTTCATCCCAATCAATGTGATAGTGATGCCTTTCCTGTAGGACATCATATTGGGAGTAGGACTGCAAAGAGGCGGAAGACACAGGTCCCATCCCTGGGGATTTAGCTCAACTGAGAGGGCAGAACATAGGCTTAAGAAGAAAAATGATCTCAGATAACCCTTGCTAAATTCTACATCATTGGACAGGCAGTAAGTGTTAGAGAATTTAGAAGAGGGCTGGGCATTAGAAAACTGCTCTGTAATTCTTGTCCTCTAGGGGCTTAGTTATCTAGTTCTGCAGTTCTTGTCTGCTTTTGGGACCTACTGCCCCCACCCCCACACTGCCCACCACTTCCTTTTTTTTAATCTTTAAAATGAAGGACTTGAACTAGTTGCTTATTGAGGGTTTTGTTTTTGTTTTTGTTTTTGAGACAGAGTCTCACTCTGTTGCCCAGGCTGGAGTGAAGTGGTGTGATCTTGGCTCACTGCAACCTCCGCCTCCTGGTTCAAGCAATTCTCCTGCCTCAGCCTCCCAAGTAGCTAGGACTACAGGTGCAGGCCACCATGCCTTGCTAATTTTGTATTTTTAGAAAAGATGGGGTTTCACTATGTTGGCCAGGCTGGTCTCGAACTCCTGACCTTGTCATGATCCTCCCGCCCCGGCCTCCAAAAGTGCTGGGATTATAGGCATGAGCCACTGCGCCCAGCCTGAGGGTTTTCTTAGTTCTGAAATTATGTGCTTGTCTAGTCTTTTTCATTACCAAACAATGGTTAAGGGCCTAGACTCTAAAGTCAGAGTGTGAATCTTGGTTCTGTGATTTATCAGGCATGTGACTTTAGTTGTTTACCTGTGGTGCCACAGTTTTCCCATCTGTAAAATGTGGATAATAATAGTACCTATATCATAAGTTTGTTAGGAGGATTAAATTAATATTTATAAAAGCCATAGAATATACTTGACACATAGTAAACACTATATCAGTGTTTGTTAAAGAAAATAACTACTTGCATTTTTTTCCTTTTCCTATCAGGACTAACCTCGGGTGGTTAATCTTCCTTCTGTCAGTACTGAGGCTAGATTAAATGGTAATCAACAAATACCTGACTTAATGCTAAGTACAGTTAATCCTATCAGTGGATTAATGGCTACCATTTGAGTGCCATCTATGTGCCAGGCATTCAGTCGCTCTGCTTATATTTTCAAACATTATTAAAGAATTGAGAGCTGGGCACAGTGGCTTATGCCTATAATCCTAATGCTTTGGGAGGCCAAGGCAAGAGGTTCACCTGAAGCCAGGAGTTTGAGACCAGTCTGGGCAACATAACAAGACTCTATTTCTATGGGGGAAAAAAAAAGAATATATATATATATATATATATATATATATATATATATCTTGGCATGGTTTGCATGTGCCTGTAATCCTAGCTTCTCAGGAGGCTGAGGTGAGAGGATCACTTGAGCCCAGGAGTTCAAGATTACAGTGAGCTATGATTATGCCACTGCACTCTAGCCTGGCTGACAGAGTGAGACTCTGTCTCTAAAATAAATACATATGGTCGTGGTGGCTCACACCTGTAATCCCAGCACTTTGGGAGGCTGAGACAGGCAGATCACTTGAGGCCAGGAGTTCAAGATCAGCCTAGACAACATGGTGAAACCCTGTCTCTTCTAAAACTACAAAAATTAGCCAGTTGTGGTGGTGAACGCCTGTAATCCCAGCTACTCAAGAGGCACAGGCATGAGAATCACTTAAAACTCAGGAAGCTGAGGTGGCAGTGAGCCAAATCGTGCCACTGAGCTACAGCCTGGGTAACAGAGCAACACTCTATCTAAATAAATAAATAGATAAAATAAAAATTAAGAAATGAAATAAATAAGTAAACAGAAAATTCCAATTTTAACCCTGCCCTAGTTCTGGAATGAAGAGTTGGGCTAGCGGTCAGGATTGCTACTAGTGATAGATAGTCAGTGTGCTCCTTGCAATTCCAGGTCTCTTTGACCTATCATTTTTCTTTTTTTCTTTTCTTTTTTTAGTCCCCATTATGCCCCAGAATGTTCTTATTCTTACTGTTATCTCTGAAATCTACTAACTCCCTCATTTCCCAGCTCTCCTGCCTATCCCTGAAAATGTAAAGCCTTGCCTGTATTTCCCCAGTTTTACTTAATTAAAACTAGCCTGGGAATGAATAACTTTTCCTATAACATTTGTGTTAGTTATTTGCATGCTTATTTAAACATACAGTTGCCCAGGCGCGGTGGCTCACACTTGTAATCCCAGCACTTTGGAAGGCCGAGGCAGGCAGATCACCTGAGGTCAGGAGACCAGCCTGACCAACATGGAGAAACCGCATGTCTACTAAAAATACAAAAATTAGCCGGGTGTGTTGGCGCAGGCCTGTGATCCCAGCTGCTTGGGAGGCTGAGGCAGAATTGCTTGAACCCGGGAAGTGGAGTTTGCAGTGAGCCGAGATCGCGCCATTGCACTCCAGCCTGGGCAACAAAAGTGCAACTGTCTCAACAACAACAACAACAGCAGCAACAACAACATATAGTTATCCTGGCAAATTTATTTAATGTCATTATCCAAACATTCACTGGGTATGTCAGGTCTTCTAGATAAATATCCCCTGGTTTTACTTTGTTGATTTCAGATTGTTTTCAGATTGATGCCAGTTAATTTGGAAATTAATTTTCTAGTCTTTGGCCGTGAAAGATGATTAGGTGCTTTTCCTGGTAAAGTGGTGAATTTCTTCTGAGGGTATACGACTCATATACTTAGCTGTTCACATTTATTTATTTATTTAAATTACCTTGAAGTAGAATTTTCCCAGGTTATTTTATTGAGTTTTTATTTAATCATCTTATTTAACGAGTGGGATATGAGTAAATCAGAGCTCCGCCTCCCGGGTTCACGCCATTCTCCTGCCTCAGCCTCCCGAGTAGCTGGGACTACAGGCGTCCGCCACCATGCCCGGCTAATTTTTTTATATTTTTAGTAGAGACAGGGTTTCACTGTGCTAGCCAGGATGGTCTCGGTCTCCTAACCTTGTGATCCACTTGCCTCCGCCTCCCAAAGTGCTGGGATTACAGGCGTGAGCCACCATGCCCGGCTGAGAAACTTTGTTTTTATATTGGTACTTGGTCTGATGAATGTGTATTTCTCTCTGGGATGAGTAATGTCATTTGCATTAATTCAAGTTGGGAAGTGCCCATAAGGAAACTAACTTCTACATAATGTAGCTTTCCACTCTTGCATAACACATTAGTTACCGTATGTGTTTTGCATGCATCTGGCTGTGAAGAGGTTTTAAAGTGCAAAGATAATCCTCTCCACCTTTTCAGAATTGCAATATTTGTTTCTTATAGCTGTTTCAGAGTGGTGGGGGGAACTGAATTCAGATTCAGACTGGGGCTTAGGTGCCATCTAAAAGAGTTTAAGAAAAAGACTACTGGCTGGGTGTGGTGGCTCACGCCTGTAATCCCAGCACTTTGGGAGGCTGAGGTGGGCAGGTCACGAAGTCAGAAGATTGAGACCATCCTGGCCAACATGGTGAAACCTCATCTCTACTAAAAATACAAAAATTGGCTGGGTGTGGTCCCACCTAATTGGTTGGCTGAGGCAGGAGAATTGCCTGGACCCGGGAGGCAGAGATTGCAGTGAGCCGAGATAGCGCCACTGCACTCCACTGGCAACAATGCAAGACTCCGTCTCAAAAAAATAAATAAAAAAATAAAAAGAAGACTAATGATGTTGTTTGAATGCACTTATTTTCCCATTTTATCAAAATGTTGAATTTGGTCCTATAAAAATGACAGAAATCTCCCAGTGTACTTCTATACAATAGGAAGTCTACTGTTTTAGTAGTTAAGGTTAGAATGAGACTTTTTTGGTTTTTTGTTTTTCAAGAATACATTTTCCTCATTGATCATCTCTGTGAACTTCAGGCTACTCTGGCCTTTTAAATTTTATTGTATAACTAGAGGAATATGGTTCTAAACTTTCCTAAATTATTGACAGGCTGTTTGTGTCTTGTACATAAAAGTCTCTTGTGTCAGTAGTTTAAATGTTATCTAGTGGTAAAAGTAACTTTTAAATAAAATTTTGTTTTTTACCGGTATAATTTGTATAACCATGAGCGTATGATTTTTTGTTTGTTTTATTTAACAGTCTCAGGGCATAATAGCTTTTTTTTGTAACTGATTTATTGGTTGAGGATTACCCAGCCAAAAAAGAAATAATACTTTGACTATTGTAAGAATATTTTTCTCAGGTTTGCCACATAATGCTTTGGAAACATTAAGTGTTCCAATGCTTTTTTAAATATAGTATTAAATCCATTTTATAATGAGGTAGACTGAGTCACTAAACATATAAAATGTAACTTATGAAGCGATACAGATGAGTCATTGACAATTGAATAGAATCAACAGACTTCAAATACTCTTTTAAATATCATTACTGTGAACAGGGAGAATCTTATGGGTTACATAAAAGTGAATTGGAAAGTTTTCAAAGGTGAAGGCTGGTTGAGAAAGGAAGTAATGAAGCTGGATAAGAGATTCTCCTGTTGGTTATAACCTCATTTTTCATTTTCCTCCTTGTTTTTCGACTTCTTCCAGGTAAAGAAGTTATTTAAATCTCTGTGTGTTCCTTATTTTGTGCTTGAACTTGATCAAACAGGTAAGTTTCTGTTTAATATGTAAATCATAGCTGCTGACTGTACATTTTATTTTATTTATTCTACCTGGCTTTAATTTGTCTTCCTTGAGGTTTTTATTGTTTAGTGAGCACTTGCTAGCTCACTGGTCATTTAGATAGGGTACTCTCCTGGAGTTAATCATATTTACCTTTAGCCTTTACCTAGTTTATAGCCTTGATATTACCCAGAGTTTCCTGTTACTGAAATTATTCTTCTTATTACTCATGAATCTAGTTACAGATACAGTATTTGCTGGTTTTATGGTAACTTTGTTTTTGCAAAATTGTCTCCTTTCTGATAAGTAATGCACATAGTATTTGAATTAAATATAAATCGAGATGCATTCAGAAATTTTGGCAGGGACATACAAAGATCAGTAAAGGTAAAAGATCCATGAAAAGTGCTACTGGGAAATCCCAGGGAGAGAAAGGTTGGTGGAGTATAGCAGAAAGTTTCTTTCTAGGACCATGGTGCTCCTTTTTTATGGGTCAGAAAATCCCAAGGGCTCACAGGCAAACATTATTAAGAATCTAATCTAGGCCTGTTGGTGACTCATGCTTCTAATCCCAACACATTGGGAGGCCAAGGTGGTAGGATCGCTTGAGGCCAGGAGTTTGAGACCAGCCTGGGCAACAGAGTGAGAGCTTGTCTCTACAAAAACAAAGAATTAAAAAATTAGCCAGGCATAGTGGCATGAGCCCGTAGTTCTAGCTACTCAGGAGGCTGAGGCAGGAAGATTGCTTGAGCCAAGGAGTTCAAGGTTACAGTGAGCTCTGATTGCACCATTGCACTCTAGCCTGGATTCCTGAGTGAGACCTTGTTTCAAAAAACAAAAAGAATCTCCTAGTGGCCAGCACAATCATTTCTATTAGGAAAAGTGGGCCTCTCCAGATTAGGAAGAGGAGGTAAACTTCATGCCTAATAGCTTAAAGGAAGCAGAGTCCTAGGCATTGACAGTCTCTGCTCAGTCTCCAAACGAATACAAAGAAAGGGCCTGGCGTGGTGGCTCACACCTGTAATCCCAGCACTTGGGGAGGCTGTGGTGGCTGGATTCCCTGAGGTTGGGAGTTTGAGACCAGCCTAGCCAATATGGTGAAACCCCATCTCTACTAAATAATAAAAAAAACATTAGCTGGGTGTGGTGGCGTGTGCCTGCAGTCCCAGCTACTGAGGAGGCTGAGGCAGGAGAATCGCTGGAACCCTCCTTAGGAGGCGGAGGTTGCAGTGAGCCAAGATCGTGTCACTGCACTCCAGCCTGGGTGACAGAGTGAGACTCCATCTCAGAACAACAACAACAACAAAAACAAACAAACAAACAAACAAAACAAAGAAAGGATTCAACTAGACAGAGAAATATATATGGCAATTGGGACATGTGAGCAATTGGCATGTAAGTTTCATTTCTAGGGTCAGGAGGAATGAGGTAGTTGTGTGGCAAGACATATTACTTGATGTTTCTAAAGATAGGTTCTCTAGGCCGGGCGCGGTGGCTCAAGCCTGTAATCCCAGCACTTTGGGAGGCCAAGACGGGTGGATCACGAGGTCAGGAGATCGAGACCATCCTGGCTAACACGGTGAAACCCCATCTCTACTAAAAAAATACAAAAAGCTAGCCGGGCGAGGTGGCGGGCGCCTGTAGTCCCAGCTACTCGGGAGGCTGAGACAGGAGAATGGCGTAAACCTGGGAGGCGGAGCTTGCAGTGAGCTGAGATCCGGCCACTGCACTCCAGCCTGGGCGACAGAACGAGACTCCGTCTCAAAAAAAAAAAAAAAAAAAAAAAAAAAAGATAGGTTCTCTAACACAGAGAGCATCACATAATAACTACCACATATAGAGTGTTAGTTCCTGTTTTATATGGACTATGCTGGGTTAAGTATAGTCACCTATCCTCACATGAACTCAGCAAGGAAGATATTCTCTATATTTTATAAATGAGGAAATTGAATCCCAGAAAAGTCAATTAACTTTCTTAACATTGACCTGGTGCGGTGGCTCATGCCTGTAATCCCAGCACTTTGGGAGGCTGAGGCAGGTGGATCACCTGAGGTTGGAAGTTGAAGATCAGCCTGACCTATATGGAGAAACCCCATCTCTACTAAAAATACTAAATTAGCTGGGTGTGGTTGCTCATGCCTGTAATCTCAGTTACTCAGGAGGCTGAGGCAGGAGAATCGCTTGAACCCGGGAGGCAGAGGTTGTGTTGAGCCAAGATTGCGCCATTGCACTCCAGCCTGGGCAACAAGAGCAAAACTCCATCTCAAAAAACAAACAAACAAAAAACTCAAACAACAACAACAACAACAAAAACTTCCCTAACTTCATATAAATACTGGATCTATAATTTGGACACAGGCCTGTGTAATTCTGAAGCCTACGTTATTTCAATAATACCGTGTTGTCTGTCTCCTCTACAGTGACCCTTCTATTCCTTCATCAAGGAAGGCTCTTGCCCCTAAATACTCCATAATATGACAGGAAATCTCAATATATGAAATTTCTTCTGGTTCCAAAAGTAGCCTTTTATAAAAATATAAATTTTCCTGGGAAACTTAAGTCACTTGCAACTTGCTGTGAATTAGAGAAAAATAACCAAACAGAACAATAACCAAACAAGCAAATTAAGCTAATATAAGATAAAGCAAATGAACTTGTCCTTCAAGGATGGGAAAGGTAAAGGAGGTAACATCAGAAGAGATGGGCAGGATGAATGCACTAAGTGCTTAGGGAGCATGATTTGTAAGGATTTACTCTCTGAATCTGGAAAACCTGCATTTTTTGGTAACAAATGGCAGATGTTTTATTTCTAAAACTGTTACTAAGTGGCTAAGAAAGTTTTAAGAGTCTGTGATTTAATACATGTATGAACTTTATTTTCAGTCCCAGAAAATAAGCATTGGATTATGAATTGACTTTTGTCCCAGTGGTCCCCCAGTTATACTTCCCTTGCTCTTTCTTTCTTTGTTTTGTTTTTGTTTTTGAGATGGAGTTTTGCTCTTGTTGCCCAGGTTGGAGTGCAATGGCACAATCTGGGCTCACCACAACCTCCACCTCTCGGGTTCAAGTGATTGTCCTTTCTCAGCCCCCAGAGTAGCTGGGATTACAGGCATGCGCCACCACACCTGGCTTATTTTGTATTTTAGTAGAGATGGAGTTTCTCCATGTTGGTCAGGCTGGTCTCGAACTCCTGACCTCAGGTGATCCATCCACCTTGACCTCCCAAATTGCTGGGATTACAGGCGTGAGCCACCATGCCCGGCCCCTTTGCTCTATCTTAAATGTCCTCGTTACTTTATCATTTTTCAGACTACTCTTATGTTTTTAAATGTGTATTGCCAGAGGGGAGGTGCAGTGACTGAAGAATCTATTAACTTTCTCCTTTTCCAACTACTTTTCTGTGTAAGACTGGATTTTTCATTTACTTCTACCAAAACAACATATATTGCAAAAAATTAACCCAGAAGCAAATATGGGAATCTAGTTGTCTTTTATTAGGACCAATGCTAAAAAAAATTTAAAAATGTGAAACACCAGTCTCCTCACTATGTTTATTTATGTGTTTATTTTGAGACGAAGTTTCGCTCTTGTTGCCCAGGCTGGAGTGCAAAGGTGCAGTCTCAGCTCACTGCAACCTCTGCCTCCCAGGTTCAAGCGATTCTCCTGCCTCAGCCTCCCGAGTAGGTGGGATTACAGGCATGGGCCACCATGCCCAGCTAATTTTGTATTTTTAGTAGAGATGGTATTTCTCCATATTGGTCAGGCTGGTCTTCAACTCCCGACCTCAGGTGATCCACCCCCCTCGGCCTCACAAAGTTCTGGGATTATAGGCGTGAGATCAGCCTGGCTAACATGGTGAAATCCCATCTCTACTAAAAATACAAAAATTAGCCAGGAGTGGTGGTGGGCGCCTGTAATCCCAGCAACTCGGGAGGCTGAGGCAGGAGAATCACTTGAACGCGGGAGGCGGAGGTTGCAGTGCGCCGAGATTGTGCCATTGCACTCCAGCCTGGGCAACAAGAGCAAGACTCCGTATCAAAAAAAAAAAAAAAGACCAAGTTTGATACGCCGTTCTAAGGCAAGTGGGAAGCATGAATATTAACACAGTTTTGGTTTTGTGAGATGTATTTGTCCCAAGTATAGGAGAAACACCATTCTACATGTGCAGTTGGCCCTAGCCACACAGGAGAGATGTGATCTGGTTCATGTCTTCCATGAGCTTGCAATCATGGAGCTGGAACTGCTGATATAGTCTCTAAGTGCTGGTTTCATGAATAAACACCTCCTTTATCTGTTTCTTCTAGGCTCCAAAAGAACCCTCCATAGGCATGATTTTTCACACCAGTGTTGGCTATGTAATCTTCCCAGGGCCTGGATCATAGTGGGTATTTAAAGAGTCAGAAGATTAATTGGTAGATAGGAATATTTGGTATAGAATCAGATGGGTGCATTTGTTCATTCAGCATGTTTATTGAGTGCCTGCTGTGCACTAGGCTCTGTATACTAAGCACTGGGAATACAGTAGTATATTAGGCAGGTGTGCTTCCTGTCTAAAGGAATTAGACTTGCTTGTGTGTGTGGTTTTATTCCCCCCGCCCCCAGCAAATTCCTTTTATTTTCCTTTAGTACTGAGGGCCTGTGTACTGTCTAACTGGATTGGTAATGGAGTGAGTGCCCCGTGAATTCCTGTGTTTGCAGTAGTATCACCTCTCAAAGAAAATCAAGAAGAGAAGTTGTGCTACCAGGGGATCCTCTCTCTCCACCCTAACATTTTCTTCTTCCTTCTTTTGGCTATATTTTGGCCATTCTACATAAATTAAGGTTATTATTTGAAAACAACCATCAGGTTCAACTGAGTTCTGCTGAGATTGGTATTGGAGAGAGAAATTCAGCACCAGGAGGCCTGGCATTCATGTCCTGTGTGTAGGCAGTGGTAGTAGTCATACATGCTATCCTCCCTGTGCCAGAGGCTTATGCATGTTCTCCTATTTAATCTTCAGAATACCACCACACAAGTAGGTGGTGATATCACCTTCTTATGATGAGGAAATAAAAACATAGTAAAGTATTAGTATACAGGACGGCTGGCTTTCTGTGAACCTACTGGCAATTTGT